GAACGAACTTTCAGAAATGGCAGCAAAGTTTGCAGGCGACTTCGTCACAGCGGGCTACACAAACTATTCCTCATTCCGTGATGAGATCAAGGAAATGTTTTCATATGCGGTCACCTATGGCATCCAGTCCAAGTCCTCAACTGCCAACATCAACCACTTGGCCACTCGCAGAGAACTGGACGCCATGGTGAATGAGCTATCGGACTATGTGATCAACCACCTTTCAATTTTGAAGATGGAGATTTTCTCTTCCAACGATAAACTCGCAGAAGGCTTGACCAAGCTTGCCAAGGAAGGTGAGATCCTTCCTGCAGAAGTTTTGTCTACCATCTCCAAACTCAAGTGGGCTACAAATCTTGACGTGATGAACGCCTCTGCGGGTGCGGAGAAGGTAATTGAAAAAATGTACAAGGCAGCCACTCGAATCCTATGCCATCTGAGGAGGATTCCCCTTACAACATGCAAGGCTTCTGCCAAACCAAACCATGACGATCATGCCGATGATGATGATCGTCATGAGGGGGAGAAGAAGCAGGAGATGAAAAAGAAGGGCCTAGCCCCAAAGCTCAAAAAGAAGACAGCCAGAGCACCTGCCAAAGGCATAAAGATTGGGGAACCTACAGCCAGAGAAAAGAAGAAGGCTGCAGAGCCCACAGGCAAAGGCAAGGCCATAGCTGCAGAGTCCTCAAAGAAAGGGTCTTCATCAAGTACAGAAACTCCAGAGCCATTCGATGAAGAAAAGCATGCTGGTGAAGACCCCGAGACCATAAAAGCTTTAAAGTTGTCCTTTCCAGAGGCTCTGGCAAAGAAGTGCAAGGTACCCTTGCATTACAGAGAAGGTGAGGCCACATTTTCTGCGTTCTCACCAGTCCAAGTCCCACAAGTCCAAACAACGTCCACGGGTACGTTCGATGCCCTGCAAGGAATCGTCAAGCCTATCCTTCCAGAGGGATCAACCCAGAGGCCGATTCTGGAAGAGCAAGAAGAACAGAAGATGCCAGAGTCAAGAACGGGAGGACGGGTCTCTTAAATCCTTGAATCTATGAGCAAGATTCCAACACTAAATGTTCGCACAGAGCCCGTCACCACCCCAGAAGAAATACTTATTTGGAAGTACTCTGTGACAGACACAGAGCCACCCTACGATCCAGAACTCACTGATATCCCCTCTGCCGTAGCCAAGTTTCACTTCTCAAGATTAACAAGGCCTCGTGAGCAGGTCTTCTCACGACACATGATCACATCTTTGGTGTCAATCTCACCAAGGACTCTATTAAAGAAGACCGTGCTCTACTCACAGTACGTTGTAAGGAGAGAAGACCGCAACATCTACACCTTCACTGATGTAGATCTTCATAACCTCTGCATGTATGATGTCATTTATATGCACAAGATCCTTAACGTCTACATGGAGAGGAGGTCAACATATCAAATATCCCTCAGAAGGCTGATTGAAGTTATGCGTGCGCAATTTATGTATTACAGCCAGAAGGATTTTGAGTTGGCCATGAGATTAGCACAGAATAATCTGAAGATCACTCCTTCTTATAGCAGGCCAAGTTGGGTATCTAAGTACTATCCAAACATCATCTTACACAATCTCGTTTTTAGGTTTGTGTATTTGGACAAGGATAAGCTACTAAGATTCTTTGACCCCACAGAAGCTCACAAGTATGCAACAGAGACGCTGGACTGGATCTTCAAGTGTTTAGTGGCAGAGGTGGATAGAAGACATTACAGGGTTGGTGAAGTGTCTCCTCTCTTGGACGCAATTAAAGCTCAAATCAACTTCAGAGAGTTCATCTTAAATGTCTACAGAACAATCAAGTCAGATTTTATTTACCCAGTAGACGACTTCCTAGAGTCTATGGTTTAATTCTCTTCTGTTCCAGAATCCGGCCTAAGCTTCAAATGTTTGTCATTTAAGTATTGTAATTCTTTTCACTGTAATTCTTTCAGAGGATGATGTTTAATCACCTCTTGTAATTTCATTTCAATTAAGTCATACTCTTACACTGACATTTCAAATTTTACTTTTTCATACTTAGGGGGAGAATGTTAGCTCTCATTTTCTTAAATGTAAAAGTATAGAAAAAGTAAACTGCGAGTATTGACAGAAGATGATCTGTCACAGAAGACCACAGAGGACCAACAGCAGAAGATGCTCAAGCGTTCAAGTCTAAAGTGACAGAACCTCTTTCGTGTCTCACAGAGGTTCTGTAAACTGGTCCTCTACATAGACTTTGCTACAAGTCAAAGACGGCAGAACCTCTGTCTTGTCTCACAGAGGTTCTGCAATATGTCTTATATATAGATCTTTTTTAGCTGTTTTACTTAGGTTTATTAGCTGCTCATGCTTATCACGTGTTCTTGTCTGTAATCTGTTTTGATCGAACGGCTTAGATTAATTTACTTTTAGGTCATGTTAGGAAACGGTTACTTGCTTGTATAAATAGCAGCGTAGGCCCTTGTATTTCGGTGTGCTTCAGTATTGTAATTGTCAATATTTTCATCAATTGAAAATCATTTTGAAGCTATCTCTTGTGTTCTTCAATCGTCTTCTTCGTGTTCTTATTGATTTCTACTGTTATTGATTCTTATTACTTCCGCAACGTTAACACTGTCAAACAGATCATCCAAGTAAGTAATCTATACCAAAGAACTGAGTTAATCGATCCTACACCAAATATGGCCCATTTAGGGTCATTTTGACCCAATTAGACTATGTATGAAGAATTGGGCCCATCATTCTCATTAGGGTCTAAAAAGACTAATTATGACATAGTTTGAGTCGTGTTGACCCAATTGGACTTCTTAAGGAGAAATAGGCCAATTATATCCACTAACACCAAATGGACCCGATGTTTTCATCTTGGATCTTGAGCTTTTTATCGTGCATGATTATGGTTTTGCATTCATCCTTCTTGCTTGTTCGATTTGTGCTTTTGTTGGGGTTTGGTTTCCCTACGGCTGTCTAGGGTTCTTCGTGTTTGGTTTTTTTCCAAGCCGTGTTCTGCTTCTGTTTCATCAATTTCTTCTTAGGTACGTTTTCTGTTTGGTTCGCTCTAGGGTTTACTCTGTAAGCTTTGTGTCGGCGCCAAGTTAAATATAACAGCAGGGGTGAAAACCTGGTTCGTCGTGTTTGGAGAATTGTGATTACGGCATTAGGGTTTCTCTTCTAGATCTCTTTGCCTGTTATCGTTTTGTTGCTGGTTGTCGTTCTTTTTCTGTTTGATCTGCTCTTGTATTGGGGATCTCCGGGTTTAGGACAGTGGCAGAAGGTTTTCTTTACTGTTGGATCAACTGTTTCTTGCTGTATGCTTCTGTTGTCGTCTGTTTGGCCGGCTGGTTTTTTTCTGTGATCATCTATCTATTGGTGTACTGCTATTTGGGACGTTAGGGCTGCAGTTTTGATTGGTTTTCATTTGTTTGGCTACTGCTGGTTTCATCTTGTACGTCCAAAGATTGGTTTGTTTATGGGCTGGTATATTCATGATTTTATATGAACTGCTGCACTTCAAAGCTGTTGTCATCGGCTGTTTTTACTGTTTCGTGACTGCTGTTGTTCTAGACTATTGTTGTTCTAGACTGTTTTGGTTCTGGGTTCGAAGGGGTTTGCTGGTTCTCGTTATCATCCTGGATTTAGCTGTTGTTGATCATTCATAGCTATGTTTATTCTGTTGGCACATCTGTTGCTCGGTTCTATAGCTGTTGGTTCGTCCTTAGAAGTGTTCCAAGCTTTTTCAAGGTTCTATAACTGCTATTCGCTGGCTGCTTAGTTCTGGACTGCTGTTTCTGAACTAAGCTTCTGCTTGTTTTGTTGTTGTTGCTGTTGTTCTTAGTTAGCTGTGGGTTCTTCTGTTCGTGGTTGTTCCAGTTTAAGAAGTTTCGGTGTGCTGCTACTACAGGCTGGTTTATGATTTTATGTGTTGTTGGTTATCGAGGTGAGCTTTCTAGTTGAGTTTTGCTGGTTCTAGGAGCCTCGGGTTTACTTGAGGTTTTTGCTGTTGATTTCCTGTTTCTTCGTATATCCTAAGTGTTTCTGGGGTCTTCGTCTCTTTCGTTGAAACTCCCTTGATAGATATTCAGCACCTCGATTTCCGTGGTCTTCGTCTATCCTATTAAGGGTGCTAAACATTAGTTTCAGCACCATGGCTTCTTAGTTTGTGCGATGAAAATGGGGGATGAATCGGCTCCTTTTCCTAATGATCCTAGTAGAATTTCAGTTTTTGAACAGCTTTCATCACTCGGCAATGCCGCTAGTGGAAAAGAAAAGTTAAACTACATGAAAGCGGTGGGTAGTTCAATTGCCACGGATCTCAATTTTTATCCATTGGCTGATAAAAAAGATGTAAGTGTGAAAATTCCAATTGAAATGGCTAAGGAGGCTGCTAAAGCATATAATTCGGTGTTGTATGGATGCTTTCTGGGCCCTTGTATTCCATTTCCTATTGTGAAAAAATTTGTCAGAATGGCGTGGGGAATGTATGGATTTAACGATGCTATGCTTAATGAGAATGGGATTTTCTTCTTCAAGTTTAATGATGTCGGAGGGTGTGATCAGGTGATTGAAGCTGTTCCATTAACGATAAGGGGCATCCCCCTATTTGCCTATGGTTGGGATCCCTCTAAGGGGTTGAGGAAATCGGAACACTCTTCTTGTCCCCTCTGGGTGAAATTAAATAATATTCCGCTCGTTGTATTTAATAAGGAGGGTGTTAGTCGTATTGCGAGTGTCTTGGGCGTACCAAAACAGATGGATTTTTGCACTGCATCAACGTGTGAAAAAGCTCGGGGAAGACCGGGGTTTGCTAAGGTTTTGGTTGAGGTATGGGCTGTGGGAGAATTGAAAAGGCATATTGAAGTTGAAATTCCAAATCTTAATGGTGGTGATGCTGAAACAGTGAAAATTCAGGTTGAATACGTTGTGGGAGCCGGTTCAATGTTCCCATTGCCAGGTTTTTGGTCATAAAATCTCTACCTGTGTAAAAGCACCTAGTATGAATAAAGGGAAGCATGTAGAGAGGAGGAAGGATGCTGAAGGTTTTATAAGAGTGGAGAAAAAGCAATGGAGGCTGAAAGCTGGAAGTAACCCCAAGCTTTCTGTTCAAGGTAAGGAAATTGTATCTGGAAACAATGCCATTCTTCCGGGGCATTTAAGAGCAAGTACATCGAATAGGGATCATGTGGAGATGAGGAATAATGTTACTAATGAAGTAGTTCATCCTGGTGCGAATGTGAAGAATGCTACAAAGATTTCAGGTATGAATTCTTTTTCTGTTGGTTCTGGGTCTTCTTCTCATACGATCCATTCTTCCCATTCTATGGCTACGCCTACTCCTATCAWTGATTCAGTAGTCAAAAAATTTCGTTTACCACGGAGGGGAGTTATGTTAGAGCCTGTGATAGACACTAACCGCTATGGCGTTCTGAAGAAGTTAAGTGGGGAGGAAACTATTGTGGATCATCATTTGGTTATGGATACAGACCCTGTTGCGAACACTTTGAATATGGATAGACGGGAGCATGGGGTTGAACATTCCTCTTCATCATGTTAAACTTTGTGTCTTGGAATATCTGGGGTCTTAATTCTCCGGTTAAGCAAAATGAGGTGAAAAATTTTATTCATTATAATGATCTATGTTTGTGTGCTATTGTTGAGTCTCATGTTTCTAAGGATTCCCTTGAAAGTGTGTGCTCAAAGCTTTTTGGCCGGTGGGCCTGGATTACTAATCAAGTTGCGTGTGTCTCGGGTACACGTATAATCCTTTCTTGGAATTCGCGTAAATTAGATGTTATGGTTATGGAGACTCATAATCAATTCCTGAACTGTAAAGTTTCTGTACGAGGTGGTCAAGACTTTTTCTTTTTTTCCATGGTATATGGTGCAAATGCTTGTAATCGAAGAAGAGAATTATGGTCGGGGTTAAGGAAGTTTAAAGTCTTGATTGGTGCAAATCCTTGGATAGTAATGGGTGATTTCAACACCATGTTATTTTCTCATGATGGGTTTGGTGGGTCTTCTCGCCGTAATATTGATATGTCTGATTTTTTTGCGTGTGTCGAGGATGTTGAAGTTTTTGATTTGCATTACTCTGGTGTTCACTTCTCTTGGAACCAAAAGCCGAATTCTGAGGGGGGAATCATGCGTAAACTTGATAGGGCTATGGCTAATGCAGAATTCACTTCTAAATTTCATGATGCTAATGTTAAATTTCTTCCTGCTGGACTTTTGGATCATTCTCCGGTGATTATTTCCTTCAAAGGAGGTTTACGGCAACCAAGGTATGGGTTTAAATTTGATATTTTCATGGCTGAGCACCCGGCTTTCTTGCAAATTGTTAAGGAGGAATGGTCTCATTATGTTGAGGGGACTTTTATGTATCGGGTAACTTCCCACTTAAAAGCTCTTAAGGTCCCTCTTCGTCGCCTTCGTAATACCTTTGGTAATCTTGGGAAGAGGGTTGTTTTTTTAAAAACGGAGTTAGATCGTGTTCAATTGGATTTTGATAGAGATCCGTCTAATACTGAGGTGGGTTTGGAACTTGGTCATATTCGGCTTGCTTAGCATACTGTTTGTTGGGATGAGGAATGTGCTGCGAAACAACGTGTAAAAGTCAAATGGTTGAATGAGGGGGATTTGAATACCAAATTCTTCCATAAGGTGATAAAAGACGACATCACTCTAATTCCATTCAATCTATTTGCACTAGTACTGGTGAGTTTGTCTATGGTGATGATGTTCCTCAAATATTCGTTGACTACTTTAAAGACTTTATTGGCCAGAAGTATGACTCTCCTGATCCGGTTATGCCTGAAGACTCTTTTACGAAAAATCTCTCTATTTTGGAGGCTAATTATATGATCCGGCCGATTCTTTCTGAAGAAATTAAATCTGGTATGTTTCATATTGGCAATCATAAAGCTCCTGGCTCTGATAGGCTTTCTTCGAGATTTTTTAAAGCATCTTGGGACATTGTTGGGCGTGATGTGGAGCTTGCTATCCATAATTTCTTTTATCGAGGTAATCTCCCGAGGGAATTGAATCACACGCTTATTTGTCTTATCCCTAAATCTGTTAATGCTTCTGAGGTTACGGATTACCGGCCTATAGCTTGCTGCAATGTACTTTACAAATGTATTAATAAAATCATTGTAAACATAATGAAGGATTATTTGGATTCTTTAATAGATAAGGCCCAATCAGCTTTTATCCCTGGTCGAAAGATTAAGGATAATATTATTATGGCACATGAGCTAGTTTCTGGATATCAGACTAAGATTGGTCCTCTTAGATGTGCTTTCAAGATATATATTAAAAAAGCTTATGATATGGTGGATTGGCGGTTCCTCGTTATTATGATGCAGGGTTTGGGGTTCCATCCAGTTATGGTTAAGTGGATACGGGAGATGGTGTCTACTACTTCCTACTCTCTTGCGATTAATGGTGAATCTTATGGGTTTTTTCATGGTGGTAGGGGTCTTCGGCAAGGGGATACTTTATCTCCATATCTTTTCACGATCGTGATGGAGGGATTTTCTATGATCCTTAGGAATTGTATTCGGGAGGCTTCGGATTTTGAGTACCATCGGGGTTGTGAGGAGCTGGACTTGACTCACCTGTGTTTTGCTGATAATTTATTTGTTTTTACTAAAGGTGATGTCCATTCGGTGGAGGTGCTTAAAAAGGCTCTTTCTCTCTTTCAACAACGGTCGAGTTTAGAACCAAGTCTTGTAAAGAGTGAGATCTATTTTGGGAATGTGCCACCTAATATTAAGGAGGCTATTCTGGCGTGTCTTCCTTTTAAGCTTGGATGGTTTCCTGTCCGTTATTTGGGTGTACCTTTATCTCACGCTCGATTGAAGATCAGTGATTATCGGCCTTTGATTGCTAAGGTTCAGGGTCGTATTCTCAATTGGAAGTCTAAGTTTCTATCGTTTGGTGGACGTCGTCAACTTATTATAGCGGTCCTTCAATCTCTTCAGTTGCATTGGATGTCCGTGTTCCTTTTTCCGTCTGGGATAATTCATGATCTTGAATCGATCTTCCGGAAGTTTCTTTGGGCGCCTAGGGACGATCCTCGTGGGCGGTGTAGAGTATCATGGGAAGTGGTGTGTAGGTCGTTTGAATCGGGGGGTCTTGGTATTAAAAGGTTGGCGACCTGGAACAGGGCTTTACTAGCTAAACATGTGTGGGATATTGTTCGCCATCATGATTCTTTGTGGGTTCGTTGGGTTTATCGGCATAATCTTCGTTCATCCCATTTTTGGTTGGTACGGAAAAATTCTACTTGGTCATGGGTCTTCCGTAAATTGTTGTACTTACGTCCTCAACTGCGTCGGTATTTCGTGTCCCGGATTGGTGATGGACGGGATACAAATGCTTGGGAGGATTCTTGGCTTCCTTGTGGTCAGCTTTCGGGTTTTCTGTCCTATCGGTTTATCTATTCTTGTGGGTTCTCTACTGGTACTACGGTACGTGAGCTTTGCATGCGTTTGGATGGAGTATGGCCAGATGAGTGGTGTACCAGGTTTGATGTGCTTCTTTTGGGATGATTCTATTCGGGATCAAGTTCTCTGGGGGGATGATCGTGGTTCATGTTCGGATTTCAAAGTTAATAATGCTTGGGCTTCGTTGGAGGGTTCTTATCCGGTTGTACCTTGGTATAAATCGGTGTGGTTTTTCGGCCATATTCCGAAGCATGCTTTCTGTTTGTGGCTTGCTTGTCAGCAGTGTCTTCCTACTCAATACCGTTTGCTTTGGAAGGATGAACCTCCTGACCTTGTGTGCTCACTATGTGGTCAGAGTGTGGATAGCCATTCACATTTATTTTTCCAGTGTACTTTTGCTCGTGAAATATGGGATACTATATTGCGTATTGCGGACTTGAAGTCTATACCTGCTGTGTGGAAACAAATTTTGGGTACTATTTCCTATCGTCGTCCAAAGCGGTTAAAGCAGAAACTTGCGGTGGCGGCATCTGTCAATTTATCTGGCAAGAACGTAATAGAAGACTTTTTACCGGGGAACGACGAACTGCCATGCAGATTATCAAGGTTATTGTTCAGACTATTGAAATTCGTGTGGCTTGGATGGAGCGAAGATTGYTGGGTAATGTTGGTTGATGTTGTTTCGTTTTTGGGCTTGGGGAGCTTGTTTGTTTTTCAAGCTCCTTTTCTTTATTTTTAGTTGTTTGTTTGAGTCGGTTGGGCTTTGTTCCTTTTGGCTTGAGGTGGCTTGGTATGGTGTGATGTCCAAGTCTTTTGGTTTCCTGTTTTAGTTGGTGTGGTCGGATGTTGTTTCGTTGTACTTCTTTTTATGTTTTATAAATTTGCCTGGTTTCCGTTAAAAAAAAACCCCAAATGGACCCTCAATCACTCCAATTAATGTCTGATTAGACTAATTCTGACGAATTTAGCACATCATATCCACTAAGGTCTGATCAAACTAAAANCATCATATCCACTAAGGTCTGATCAAACTAAAAATGACCCAATTAGTGTCATTTTGGGCCAATTAGAATCCTTATAAATAAATGGGCCTATTAACCTACTAGGGTCTAATCAGATTAATTATGACCCAGTTATTGACATTTTGATACAAATGACTCGATTACAACTAAATAGGCCCAATATACCCAATGAGTGTACATGGGCCCATCAAGAACACTTAAGAAACATTCTACCCAACTAGTCGTATTAACGACTAGTTAGACTAACTATGACCAATTTAGTGTCATTTCGACCCAATTAGAGTCGTTACGAAGAAAGGACCCATTAAACGCATCAGGGTTTAATGAGACTATTTATGACCAAGTTGGTGTCATTTTGACTCAATCGGACTTTTTAACGAGAATTAGGCCCATCATATCCACTACCACCAAATGNTGGTGTCATTTTGACTCAATCGGACTTTTTAACGAGAATTAGGCCCATCATATCCACTACCACCAAATGGACCCTCAATCACTCCAATTAATGTCGGCCTAATTCTGACGAATTTAGCTATTCATACCCATTAAGGTTTGATCAAACTAAAAATGACCCAACTAGTGTCATTTTGGACCAATTAGAATCCTTGTGGATAAATGGGCCTATTAACATACTAGGGTTTAATCAGATTAATTATGACCCATTTATTGTCATTTTGATCCAAATGACTCGATTACAACTAAAAATAGGACCAATATACCCAATGAGTGTACATGGACCCATCAAGGACACTTTAGACACATTCAACCCAACTTGTCGTATTAACAACTAGTTAGTCCAACTATGACCCATTTAGTGTCATTTTGACCCAATTAGACTCGTTACGAAGAAAGGGCCCCATTAAACGCATCAGGGTCTAATGAGACTAT